GTAGACTGGGTAAATAATTAATGAATTTTAGAGATCCAGCTGTCCCAGTCTACCAGGTTAAATCTTGACAGATAGAAGCTTGCAATGTCATCAATAATCCATACATCTTCTGATCTACACAGATCTGTAGCTTTAATTCTCAACTTGAAGCCGAAGATGGGAGTGATTTGGATTTTAGGTCGTTTTTTTTACTTATAATGACATAAAAGTCATATTTTGTTGAAAATTATGTCAAGAAAGATTCCAAGAACATGAAACTGGACCTCACACCATATAACTAATCCTACACTTCACAAGAACAAGCACTTTTAGAATTAAACTCATAACCTCTTAAACTTGTGTAATGGTTTAGCTCTTGCATATCAGGCGGTTCAATTGAGTCACATGCCCAAAAATGACGTCATTTTAGTGTATTTTAGAATGAAAAGCATTCTTAAGATGACGTCATTTCGCTGTTATTTATAAAGTTGTAAATTCATATGGCATTATTGTCAGAAATAGTAACTTTTGTTTGTTTGTTTAATTGGGTTTTACATCACACCGACACATTATAGGATATATGGCGACGTTCAAGCTTTACTGGTGGAGGAAACCCTCAGGTGCCCTTCCGTGCATTATTTCAGGCACATTAGAAGAACCACAGACGTTCCGTAAAAGCAATAGTAACAGAACCATTAAAATATGAAAGATAAAAATATCTGACATTTGTCTGCGATTCAGATCAGAATATCTGTCCCTCAAGTTCAAACCTATGGGCCAGTAAAATATTCCGGAACCAAGTATTATTATGCTTCAGTTTTGGTAACTTTTAGCACATTGCTTTTAGAAATACTGACCATTCCTTTCATATAACCATTTTGGTCCTTTTTAAAGTAAAAAAAAACAACAATAATTTTGGAAGTATAGCTTAATATATTTCAAAGGATGACTTGACTCTCATTAAAATTAAATATACACAAACAAAAAAAGGTCAGTTCAGTGGCAGAGGCCTATACCTAAAAAACTTATCTAAGGGCACAAGCATGCCTGCTCCACCATGAAAACCAGGCTATCATTGAATGACTCAACTGTTTTCAGAGAATATGAAATACCCAGTAAAATGAATAAAAGAAAGAAATTCAAGTCTGTCTCAAAAAGACACTGTCTATATCTAAAAGCCTAAATGTAGACCTGACTGTCGAGTTTCACATCTAACATGTTCAAAGTTCTGAAACTTTCACGAAATTCGTCATAAAAGTTTCTTTTTTTTCTTACAATAGACAATAAACCTCAATGTATAGGACAATTTTAATAAGAGAAAAAAAGATAATAGCACACTAAATCATACAATATAGTGGATTATTTTGGCGTTTCTGTATAAAACATGCATGACTTAAGCATGTAAACGCGAGCTTTTTTGTCAGTCAAGAAAGAAAAAACAGCAGAAGAATTAAATAACACTTATATAGGATAGGAGATATGAGTATTTGCCAGTGCCATTTATTTTGAGGTACAATTCTATCATTCATTTTTGGAAGAAATATTCCTGAATAGTACCAAAGGATCATGATACATCAGGGCTTTTTTCACAGGTTGGGGAAGCAGCCCCACAATTAATTTTGTGGAGAAGTTATAGGGTATGTTTGCAAAAGGGGAGGAAAAACTCAATATAAATTCAATTATTAGGGAAAATTGCTTGATTTTAAAGAATTTTACTTTGGGAAAGCCACCCTTATAAAAAGTCCTCTGCTATAGGAGGGAAAAAAAGCCCTGCACATCAAGCAACACTGTTCATGAACTTCTGTGAAATGTTCCTTTGACCATGCTAATTTTATGTTAAATTGCCCCTGCCCATCTATGCCATTGTTAAAGGAATTTCAATATATTTATTAAAGTAGGAAGATTATGCTGACAAATAAACATGACATCAGTAGATAATGGAATTAATAATGCTGCCTATCAAAACACCTGTCCATTCTTCTCTGTTGTAATAATGAATTTGTTTTAAAAGCACAAATTAAATTTTTATTTTGATTATATCCATTTTTCTAAGAAATTCACATCAGTGAGGCTGGCAAATGAAATGATGTTTTTTAGCATTAAACACATAGGTATAATGTAAATACCTTTTTTAATATTAAATTTTTTAATTAAATTTAATTTCTTGCCTAGATTTTTTACTGACAACTTAAATTATGATCATAATTCATTTCATTAACAGGTGTATACAACCAACAGTTCTCGTTGTCTTTTAAATTAAGTGCATGAAAATATGCCCAAACATGAATTGAGCTTTTTATAGCTTAACTTCAAATCTCATCCATACATGAAACAATGAAACATTAAAAAAAAAGTCTGTTCCATCAAGTACCCATCTCTCTAGACAAAAACCAGGGGGCAATTTATCAAACCAATTTTCATAGGTTTATTTCTCAATTCCAATTAGCATATATAAAATTACCAATTCCATGCAAGATACTACTGTATAAAACCAAAGGAGCCTGGGTTTGAAAGATAAAATCTGTTTTTGATGACTTGTCATTATCAGATATAACCTATTGCATAATACTGTATCACAAGGGATTCTGGCATCTCTAAAGAACTGATGGCATTCTACCACATTTCTCAGCAGGGGGTCTGATTATCACTTATACCAATTTTACACATCAGGTTTTTTTTCCTTTAAATATCAGAGCTGAAATCTTACAACATAATTACCAATTATTGCATAACTTTATTTTTTTTAAAAGGGGCCTGTGGGGATTTTTATTGATGTAATACCAGATATGTTGTCAACAGACAATGATAGCTTCATCCCATATGTTGTCAGTTTAAAAAAGTGGACATTAGCCTGTCATGTTATCTTGCCACACTTTCTTAATGCAGAGGTGTGAAGTTTAAGTTGTTTAAAAGATTCAAAATCCACTTATGTATGTTATGTAAACAAATCACTTAGTTAAAAATCTGCACTGAAGTAGATTACAAATAATTTACAAATAAGGAAATGTAGACACTTAGGGAAACTGCTAATGAATTTGACACTAATCAGGGCAAGATGTTGTGTAGATTTCTTCCTCCAAACACATATCTTTGAACTAATTAACATTATGTGTTAACCGCAACAAAAAATGTACTTCCATGGATTTCATTTTATTAGTTCTTTAACAAATTAAAAAAATCTTAAATAATAAATGTATCAAATATATTAAAGTAAAACAAAATCATTAGCATGTTATGTTAGTGATGTTAAGATAAATGCTTTTAAAATTACAAGACAAAACATTCATTATTCATTACCACTCTAAATATCTTAAATGAACTTGTCCATCTTTAAATCTGGATATAACCATTCATTATTTCAAGGGTTTCAAAAATTTCAAAATATGTACTGAATGAAAAGCAAACAGTGCAAACCATGATCAGACCTACTGCGTCAGGCAAACATGGGTAATATCTGTTCCAGCCAGAAGTTAAGGGTTAATATTATAAAATATAAATGAATTTCACTGTATTTCTGCCAAATTGAAAGACATTAAGGAACACTTCAATATATTATTCAAAATCAATTATTTGAATTTTCTATGTGACAGTGAGCTACTAAAAGCATTGATTAAAGGTTTAACATCTTCTTTTGAAAAAGTGATGCTTTGTTTTTTACTTTCAATCTGAAATAGTTCTTTTAAAAAATCAATGCTTTATTTTTACTTTCAATCTTTAAAACATAATTATAACAAACAAATTCTTTAATCAATAGATTCTAAGTAGTGTGCTGAAAGTTTCATAAGGGCATACAGTCATGTATTTATTTCTGATGTAAATAACTGGCTATAGTAAACTGAAGGGATATTTTACATGCTAGAATACATGCTTGACACAACCTCAGGATGTGTCACTGTACAATACACTAGCACATTCATTTCAGTTTTTGTTCATTGTTCAACAAAAAATCTTTTCCAACAGATGACTGCATATCTTTTCACATTATCCATAGCCATTCCAGGCAAAAACAGGCAGCTAAGAAGAGCTACCAAGCTTCCATAAACTGGCTGGGAATCTTCCTCATACCCTCAAGCAAGATTTCAACTTATAGTTAAGTCAGCAACTTTATAAACATCTTGGCCAAGGGAGAAGGGTTTGTCTTAAAGTGAAATACAAACTATATTCTATGCCTCACTCATTATCACATTAGCAAAAATTGTAGATGTCGCTCTATTATTATAAAATCAATTTATAAAAGCAGTATAAGAACAAAATAAAATCCTTCTACTCATTAAATCACTGTCTTACTTTTAATAATCAGTGCAATTGGTAAATACATAGTTTGAAAAATTTATTTGGAAGAAGTAGGTGTTATGAGAAAAGAATTGAATTTTGTTCTTGAAGATTAATCTTCTATAAGGCATTAAAAAGTTACAAAGAAATACACACAGTTGACTGACTTCCCCATATAAAATTTATATGTTCACTGAAACAGGCTCATAGCCTTCAACATTGTTTCTTAAAACTTGAACAAAATAAATCAATAGATAAATTTTGCATAATACAAAGTATACATAAAACAAAGAAGCTAGTGTCTTAATCAATGTAACCACATTAATATTTGCCAAAATCATATTGCATTTAAACCAAGAAAAGTGTGTAAAACGACCGTTTCTGCACAAGGAGATTTTCGGTTACGAAAATACTTTGTACGAAAGCTGTAGATATTTTACATAAAATATTGCCTTTAAGTTAAAAAATAAAGACATATAAATCAATATCTGTCGCCCTAGAAATGCATTTAATTCATTTATTTTATCCTGCTTAACATATACGTAATGATAACTCAAAGAACGTAGAATAATAGTATCCGTTAGAAATTCTATTTTCACTTTCAACACAAGTTGAAGGCAGTCGGTTATACACAAAGTTTTCTTATAAATAAGACATTTAATTTCTATATCGTATCGTGAGACAATAAGCTTTTGTTTCTCTTTATAACTGCAAACAGGTCACCATATGTCTTGATGTATTAAACTTACCATTCAACTTATTTTCTTGTTCAATATTTTGATAAACACCATGCCCCAGTTGCCGCCATCTTTCATGAAGAACTGCATTCTGGGAGATACAGATCAGTCGCGTGAAAAGTACTCAAAATGGCGAGCGTCTACTCCAATGATAAAATAAGGTAATGGTTTTTCTGCGTTATTGCTTTCAGGCGAGTGATTAAATGGATTTAATTTATTTTAAATGTTAAATTTTATTTTTTATTGTGCAATGGAATTAACGGGTTAATTTTGTTGTATGTCTGAAATTGTTTAAATCGACTTTAAATGGTAATTAAATAGATAATTGATAGAGTGGACCAGTATTCTGCGTTCAAATTTTACACCATTATATTTTTTTCATTTCGATTTTGATATCGTTTCAGTTTTAACATATATATATTTTTTTACCAAACTTACTGTCAAGTCTTATTTTATTTTATTTTATTTTTTTTTTTCGTCTGCTTAAGTTAAAATTGGTACATTTAACTTTCCTTACTTAAAAAAAGTGATGCTGAATGCTTCATATATTTCTTCTCTTTGAAGTCTTAGTTATTGATTGCTTTAGTTGGGCTAGTACACTAATATATTGGAAAAAATTCAGCTCTGGTACTGGCCAGTTATAATGGTATTGGATTAAAAATATTCAATATTCACAGAAGGCCATCTCTGTGCATATTAAATCTTATGAATGATTAACGCATAACAGAAGTGCTTAAAAATTCATTGCAGTAACATAAGAAAGTTTCTTTAAAGCAATTTTTTATTGATTCATAAACCTTTAAAGCCTTTGTTGTTTTTACTGGACTTGAATTTCTAAACACATGCTATAGAATTTGAGTGGTCAGTTGTATTGAACGTGTGAAGAAAGGGGCGGGACTTAGCAGGATTTAATTATGTTTAATGTATGCAAGCCATCTGGAGATTAAAACATCTGGAATATATGTAAGCAGTGTTACACTTTGTCTACATAGTGAAGTTGAATGTGGATGCTGACTGTACTTTAAAACAGCTTCTGAGGCTGTGTTAAATACATTACTTTTTGAGAATATTAAGGAGTTATTTTTAGTGAAAATCTTTTCCAGTGACAGTTAATTTTGGATCATGAGAACATGTAGTTACAATTAGGTATTTATATATTTTCTAGTATTTTATATCCAACTATTTGACATATTAGTAAATGTTTTAATATTATTCAATTTCTATGAATTTCTGTATTAAATCATATAAAATATTTTTAAAAGTGAAACTTGAGAAAAAAATGTTATGAACCACTCATCACATTGGAATCTTAAATGTCTATATTGAAATCATTGAGATGTCATGTATCATATGTATAAATTTTTAGAAATAGCTTGAATTTAATTAACTAATTAATTACAAAATTGTCACTCTGAGTAATATAATTGGCATCTGTGTAAAGTATTTAACCGTTCAAAGTAAACAACTTCTTAATCACAGCCACTGGAATAAACTTGAAAAATATATATTGCTAGTGAAATTCAACATATTAAGACAAAACATCCTTAAAAAGGGTTACTATGGACATTAAAACAATGTAGCTGTCTTACAAGTTGATGGATATTGTCCACTAACATCAATCATTGAGGCAAAAATTTTATGTTAATTGAACTTTTGTAGAGGTCAGTTTTGCATATGACAGCGTATAACAGTAAACAATATCCTTCTGTCAATATCATTTGAAAGCCTGCAGTCCAGGATGATGTTTTAATCGACAGCTGTTATTTTCAGTGGATAAATTTTTTATTGGGTGGAAAATAGGTTGTATTTAAAAAAAAAATTATAGGAGAAAAGAGTTTAAAATCATCAAGTTTTTAAACTAAAGTGGATGTTAATGAAATTCATATTCAGGCAAGTTGATTTTTTTTTAAAAGAATTTAAATAACTTAAATGTATACTTTAAATATATACGTATTTTCTTCATTTTCACGAATATTTGAATAATTTTTAGAATATTTAGATATTTGAGTATACATGGTAAATGTTTCAATTGAAGCGTTTATTTAAAAAAAGTGGTTGAAATTTAAGATTTGAGTTGATGTTATGTTTTGAAATAGATTTTTTTTGAAGATAGAGAATAGAAATGAAATTTTTTAACATGATATTATAATTCAATGTATTTGAATGTGTGGGTTACATTTCATATATATATTATATTTGACACATTATTGTACTAACTTTATAAACAACTTTAACTTAAAAACTTTGAAGATAATTTCGACATTTTTGGACACTTTTATAAAATTAAGACATTAATTTGCATTAAAGATCTCGGTTAAATCATACTTAACAAACAGACAAACAAAATTATATTATATACTTTTGAATAAAAACTTTTTGATATTGATATTAAATGTGAAATGATCTTAAGATTTTGTGCACAATCTACAGAAAAGATTATGTAGAAAAGAATAGGTTTTTTCAACTTATTGTCATTTTTAAACCTATTAAAACAGGGAGTGATTTTTTAGTATTACAAAACTTGTTTGCAAGAAATCCTCTTATGAAATGTACATAGTTTGTAATAAGAGACTGAAGTAAAACAGAAAGTTTTGTTTGGCTGATAAACCAGCTAAAGTATTAAGCACAAATGAAGAAAAGAGAAAAAATGGCAAATTTTTGTACATCAAGGCCAATCTATTTTTTTCATTTGTTATATTTACAAATATGCAAGGAAAATTAGTTTTGTTTGTTATTAATTAATTCAGCAACTGTTTCAGTGACTTTCAGCTCCTTTGTTATGTGGTTAATAGAAATGAAATTAACTAATTTTGATTCAATGAGATATAATTACTATTGTACTTGCTTTTAGAATGTATTTATTATAATCCTTGCACCTTAATTTGATGTATTGTACCAAATTATCTATTTTACTTTTTCCATTATTTAAATTGATATATATTTTCCCCATTATTTTAACTGATGCTTATTACTTTCGACTTTTCCATTGTTTTAACTGATATATATCATTTTTTCCCATTTATATCTTTTTTACCATTCAAGAGACTCAAAAAAACTTAATTTTTTGCAGTAGATGTACTTCTGCACTCAGAAGTTGTCTCCCTTGATGGCAATGCTCAGAGTGCCCATTATAACAAAAACATAGCATGTGTTCTTTGAACTTTAGCAGTCATTTATATAAGCACACTATCACAAAACTTATTTTACAACAAAGTATTGTTATTTATATATATGAATATTAAATTTGTTGGTTCAAAATTTAAGTAAGTCAACACATACTTTAAAGGAAAGTTTCCATTAATTTACACAATTTTAAAAGTACTAATGTCTTACTTTCATTTAAAGATCTTGGGTTGAAAGGGAAATAACATTCATCTTAATGTTTCTGTCAAAAATGTAAATAATGTTTTGGAAAAAAAAATGACTTAGACTCTTTTAGCGTTAAACCCTATTTTATCATAGCTTGGTGCAATATAGTAGTGTCTTTAACTTAATTATATGTGAGGTACATCTTTTTAGCATGAATTCTTCCATTACTTAGTTACTGGTTCGTGGAAATGTCTAAAATTCCAAGATATGAAATTAATTATAGATTTCGGTTCAAATATTTACACAAAGGCGTCTTTGGCCTCTGAAACATAGTTTTACTGGTCTGACTGCAGGATTATAAATGGGAAACATATCTCATAAAATTGCCATGTATCATAACATCCTTAGAGGGAGCTGATAGAAAGACATGAAAAATATTGCTTTTTTTCTGTTTGTAAATACTGTCTCCCATAGCATACATTTTTTATGGTTAAACATTCAGTTTTTAACTTTAATATATAAAAGAACCTTTTTGATTTGGATGACGTATCACAGGATGTGATTAATTGTGAAAAATTCCATTTCATTTCATGAAATAGATGACTAGTTTTAAGATCAATTTAAACACATTTTTTACAATAATGAGTTAAATAGATGTGTAATTAAACCTTACTTCATCGCTCAATAGTCTTAAATTAAAGTTTCTTGAAAGGTTCAAGTTTTTCTGTGAACCACTCAAGATTGTTTTACAATTATTATGGTATTTTTTATGTTCTGACTTGGAGCTTATTACAAGGATGGTGGTTTTTATTTTTAATTGCAATTGGCTTACAATAAAAAGTTACTTTTATTATTCAAGTTTGATCTTACATATAAGCCCTTCCCATACCTTTTTAACATTTATTCGCAGAAGTATAGGTTATGAAAATCCAGTTTTCTTACATGAGTGGTAGATGGTCCCTTATGTATAATATTTATGTTTCAAATGGACCGAATGGAAGTTATTCTGTTCTTTTGTTCATATTATTTAATGAATTCCAGATTCTATGTCCATTTTTCCATGTTTGCTTCAGCCTCTGGTCATCATAATCAGATGCTTTTATCTATGGTATAATGCATTCACCATCAGAGGTTCAAAGGTCAGCCCGGCAAATCTTCAAGACCTGCCACTGATTTTCCAATGTTAAGTGAAATTGATGGGTTTTAGATACAACAACAATACATGTGATGAAAATTGGCAAGTTTTCATGCTTTTCATTATTATTAATAGTGAGACAATAGGTACCACATGTGAAGAAGAATGAGATTACACAATTTTGAGCTGGTCAGCTGGGTATATCTCAGTGTAATGGTATGGTCAAGCTATTACTGGAAAACTTGTAAAGATATATGGTGTGAAATTTGAGATAGCCATGGCAACAGAAGTTTGGTATTATCATTAGAGATACTGATTTGTGCCACACTTACATCTGCTCTGAAATTAATTGGGGTACGGAATGGGGAGCTGATAGCCTTAATTGATTATAGATTGCTATAAATAAAATCACAGGCATGAAAATTTTTTGCATATGTTTGTTATTTGGTTCAGTAACAAATGAGGGAACCCTTTCTTTTACAGCTTTGTTAAATTTCTTAAATGAACAATTCCAGTTTAAATTGTTGGAACTAGAAAAATTTAAAAATTGGTCAGCCAACAGAATGTACTCTTCAAATTTGGAGGAATAAAATGCAAGTATTCCCTGGCTCAGATCTGCCTATTCTTTACAAAGGGGACTTTCAGTTTCAACAAGATAATGTACATAAGGGTGATTTTTGCTTTCTGCAGTAAGATCATTTTAATTAAGAGTTAGATTTTTTAAATTTAAATATATTGGTCTTTGGTTTTTCTGAATATGATTATTTGGCCTTATCTGGATTCATTAAGAGGTTATAAATTTGACTTTGTACTAAAAGAAAAGTCATTTTGAAAACGTATAAACAGATTTAAAAGAAAAAAAAATCTCATATTTGTAAATTTACAAAGAAAAAAAGATAAAGTTATAGTTAATGAGTGAGTTCAGTTGTTTGTTTTAGAGAAAGGGCATCATTTTTAACCAATAAAATAATAATAAAGTGAACTTTTTAATGAGTCATCAATTACCAACAAAATATCAAGACATTTCAGTTTCTTTCAAAAAAAAAAAGTGAGTGAAATAAAACACTTAAAAGATCCTCATGATATCAAATTAAATTCAGTAAAGTGGTAGTTGTTTTTCTTTCATTAAAAGGATTTTTGATGAATTTGAATTTCAATTATTTTGACAACTTTGACATCAATAGCTAAGTATCTATTCACATTTCAATGAATATGAAGTATTTTTTATATAAACATGTTATCCAACTTTAAACCTCAACAGTTATTTGACAAGCTTTAGTCTGTTTTGTTCTTTACTGTTATTTTAAGATTAGAAGAATTTGATTTTGCTAAATCCCAACAATTTATTCAATTTGAATTTAAATGGATATCAAAACATTACATTCCATTGTGTTTTATTTTGTAAGTTGTTTCAATAATCTAGCTCGGTTTTAATAACTTACTTTGAAAGTGAGAAAAAAAATTGCTTGAAATATATTTTAATCTTTTTAGTGTTAAGCAAATAAACCTGTTTTTAATATTGATAAAAATCAGTGTAATGTTCGAAAAATATCTCCCCTTTAGTGCCCCCTGGGCAATGATAGATTTTAATCCATATGGCAATTATAATGATAAGTGGACCTATTTGTAATGTCTTGCTTATGAAGAGAAAATTTTTTATTCAAACAGCTTGCATAAGGAGCCCAGCATGCGATCTGACATT